AATTTTCAGCCATTATTTTTTCAGCACCTTTTCAGTACATTCCTTTCTCCTCTCACTCAGACCCTTTGATGAAAAGATTTAGAGCTTTTATTATAGTCCTACAAGTCCCTGTGGCTCTGTTCATTTTTTAAGTCCACTTTCTAATTTTAGATTATTTTTAGTCTTTGTTATTTAGATTAAAATTTTTCTATCGTTCTCTCTTCTAGTTCACTGATTTTTTCCTCTGTCCCCTGCATCTTCTTGTTGAGCCTATCCATTCAGCTTTTCATTTTGGTTTTGTACTTTTTGTACCGAAATTTCTATTCAGTTGTTTTTATATCTTCTATTTCTTTGTTGATGTTGTCTACTTTTCATTTGTTTCAAGCATGTTTCTAACTGCTCACTGAAGTATTTTTATCATGATCAACTTACGATCTTTGTCACTAACTTAATACCTCTGTCATCTCAGTGTTCACATCTACTAGTTGTCTTCTGTCATTCAATTTGAGATTTTCTTGGTTCTTGTTATGACAAGTGATCTTCATATGAAACCTGGACGTGTTCATATTATGTTATGAGTGTTGGAATCTTATTTCACTGGCTTTCCATGACAGTTCTGGCAGGGGAAGGTAAAGTGGTGAGATCACTTCATTACTGCCAAGTGGAGGGAGAAGTCCAATTTTTCCAGTTGACCTCCACTGACATTTGAGAGGGGAGTTCTCATTACTGCTGGGTGGAGGTGGGAGTCCAGGCTTCCTACAAGGTCTCCACTGATAATGCATTGGGAGTATTCTTGTTACTGCTGGGCAATGGTGAAAGACATCAATCTCCAAAATGTCTCTTCTGACACAACCTCAGGATGGCAGGGAAATGACCCCTCATTACTGCTGGGTTGGGAATGGAAATCCAGGCTCTCCATTAACATGGTGAGGGTGGGAGGTAAGATAGGAAGAGAAGACTCACAACCAGCCAGGAGGGAAGAAGTCCCAGTTCTCAAGTCCCAGTTCTTTGCATGGCCTTCTTTGATACCACTCTGATGATGATGGGGGACACACTGTTACAGCCTCAGGAGAAGGGAATTCTAAGTCCCCCACTTAACCTTTTCTAGCCTGGGTGGGGGTGGTACCACACTTCTTCTGTGGCATTTGGCTAAAGTAGAGCTGTTACTAAAAGTCTTCCACCTTGCTTTCTGTACATATTGATGTCTATAGGCTACTGGCTTACCCAATCTTGGTATACAAGGCAGTCAGAAAATTCAAAGAACCAATCGTGTTATTCCCAAAGTCTGAGAGTCCCTAGAGAGTCTTTCTTCTTCTCCCTACCTTTTGGGGTCTTCATGTATTTGTTTTATATAATAATGTCCAGGCTTTTAGATATAGTGAGAGAAATAGGAAAAAATAGTCCACTTCATCTTTAGGAGTTTTAAGTTTTTTTATTGCCACTTCATCCATCTATATAGTGGATGACAAAGGAAAAAATACAGTATTTATCCCTATCAAACTTCTACACAGGCAACTAAGAGAATTAACTAAAACATAAATTAAGCAATAGTTCAATTTCTAAAAATCTATGGGATTTGACTTGGTCTCTATTTCAATGAAAACCAAAAGTGTGATGTGGGAATCAAAATATCAGCATAATCTTAAGTTCTGAACTAATACAGTGTTGACCTATATGAAGCACTTTACTCAGCTATGAGTATCAGATTTTAAGAGCAATACTAATAAACCAGTGACAAACCAGAAGAACAACTAAGACTGTGGTGGTTCCAGAAGGTTGAAGGAACTACAGATACATTACCTAGAAAAAAGGAGAACTGAGGACAAAGAATTATATAATAGCAGTCTTTTAATATTACGTTCAAAACTGAAAAACAAAAAAGCGGCAGAAAATATATCAAAGCCAAGCAAATAGTTTGGCTTCATTTATATAAGCGTTTTCTAACAATCTAAACTGCCCCAAAATGTGATGAACTGCTTTACTATCCTAAGTTCTCAGACATCAGAAGTATTCAAACAGTCTGTATGTCTACCAGTCATGAATATTGTTGAGTGGATTGCTTCAGAAGGACAGAGATTAGAGAAATTTTTAATCTGTGATTCATGGTGCTACCTGAAGTAATGCTACAGAGTTACAGGGTGGTGGGGTACAACTACTGCTGAGCAGGTAAATGCCCAATTTTCTCAATCTGCTTCAACCACACACTCCAGTTACACAGCCAGTGTCTACAGTTGCTTTTATTAGGGCAGGTGCGGATGGGGTGGAGAGGAGGAGACTTTAAAGTAAATAAAAGTTCAAAAATTAGTGAAGACCTGAACTGATGTCTCTTTGAATTCTATATTCTGTGATTAATTCCTAGTTCTCAGCTATCTTCCAGGAAAATAAGATCATTATTTTACTGAGAGAGAACTATAAAGAAGATTAATGTATGTAGTTTTAAAAGCTTCCTTTTCAACATTGGGACTTTTAGAATGAATTAAATAAATAACTGTTTCAGTTTTCCACTTTACAAGTGTCAGTACAGCCTATTTGTGCCTGGGGGTGGATTTTACCTTTCTCTGAAAATTTTAGTATTTAAAATGCCCTTTTATTTCAAAAATAAAAAGTACCTGGAGGAAAGTGAATCTCACAAACCCACAAAGTTACACATTTTAAATCTGTACTTCTATAAAGACAAACATTGGAAAAATTAGTTATTACATACTAAATTTTAGGTGAACACAGTGTACCACAAAAATAATTATATAACTTCTCCAAAAGTAAAAGCAATTTGTTATATATCAGAATACTAATATACAGAAGTCTGTAGACACCCAAGTCTTTAAAAATAGCTCATCTCAGGGGCACCTGGGTGGCTCAGTCAGTTAAGTGTCTGACTTTGGCTCAGGTCATGATCTTGTGGCTCATGGGATAGAGCCCGACATCAGCTCTGTCCTGACAGCTCAGAGCCTGGAACCTGCTTTGGATTTTGTTTCCCTCTCTCTTTGCCCCAACCCCACTCACACTCTATCTCTCTCTCTAAAATAAACAAACATTAAAAAGAAAACTTTAAATAGCTCATCTCAAAAGTTAAGTATCATTTCATGATTCATATCTGTACTAATTATAGTGACCACATTAGTCAATCTACAGGATCTTTTTCAAAAGCATAGTTTAAATTATTAATTTTACTTAGCCTAAAAAGACAACACAAATTTCACTGTATCATCATTCTTACTTTCTTAGTCACACTAGTGGAATCCTTATCCATAAATCAACTAGAGATTCTATTTTCAACATGGTAGTTCAATGGCTCCCGTGAAATAACATTCACTGGGGGCACCTGAGTGGCTCAGTCAGTTAAGTGTCCAACTCTTCATTTCAGCTCAGGTCACGATTTCACAGTTCGTGAGAGGGAGCCCCACATTGGGCTCTGTGCTGACAATGTGGGGCCTGCTTAGGTTTCTCTTTCTCCCTCTTTCTCTGCCTCCCTTTCTGCCCCTCCCCTACTCACATGTACCCTCTCTCTTTCAAAATAAATAAACATTAAAAAAAAGAAATAACATTCACTATTAAGTAATTCTAAAGATCTATCATCTATATTTTGCTGAGGCATGACTCAGAAGATGGCAGACTGTTGTGCAGGAGGGGTCCACTTATGTGGTCAGGAGTATGCCCAATCACTCAGCATGGATATCTCAACATGGCCTGTTTTCTGCTGATAGTTGTTTATGTATTTTGTGAGTGATTCATATGCTAAATGGTACACTGAATCAAGGGAACTGAGGTCTTGTGATAACACATTTGTAAATTTTAAAACACATCAAGGTCTACTGCGTTGCATGTGTTTTCTACTCAATTATTATTTATAAATTTGTACATATAATTCTAAAATATGATTACCACAATATAGTAACCTGGACAATATCTCAAAGTATTCTCATAGCCTTTGCTTTTATAAAAACTTATTTTCTTATAATAGGTAACATTAATGGCAGAAAATTTAGGAAATGCAGTACAGTAAAAATAAAAAATAACTTTTTAAATGCAAAATAACAAACTTTTAACAGAAAAGCATTAGTGATGTTATGGACCCCATTTTAAATTACAAAGGGCTGACTGAATACAATTTTGTTTTTCCATGTAATTAAATTCAACCCTTTGTTAGGCCCACAGGACTGCTCAAATGATTTAAATAATTAATTAAGAGTAAAGACGTGATGCTTCAAAAAGCATCAAAAAGCACAGAAAAGAATTAACCACTAGGTTAAATTTGAGATTCTCTTAAGTTGTATTACCAAAGTAGATTATTGATTTGAAACTATACCATTAAGATAGTCAAAATAATAAAAACTTAAGTGAAAACATCTGATGATCAAGTTTCCTTTAGGAAAATAAGATAATGGAATTAATGTGATAAAGTTATTATTTATTACTACTCACTTATGCTACATAATATTTCTTGATGTTATCCGCTATATTTTATAGGTATTTTAATGTAAATATTTTTTATAATTCGGAGAAACCACAGACTCTTCTTTCTAATGTGAATATATTTACTGATTTATTTTAATAAAACCATAGTTAAGCATCTTTTTACATACCTCTTTTAACTATGGTAAAAAAAATTTTCAAAGAGTCCAAAGTTTAACAAAGTAAAGATTAAGCAAACAAATGTAATGCCTGGATGCATCTTTGTAAATTGGTTAAAATAGCATGTAGAAACCTTTGAAGATAGGCTACCTTTTAATTTAAGCTTTTGTTTTAATTACTTATGGAAAGTGACTCTGCTGCCTGTATGTGACAATACATTCAACGCTTTTAATGCATCCTGGAAACAGGTATAAATCTGAGAACAGAAATTCTTTTCTTTTTGAGGGACAAAGGACAAGACAAAAGATTAGGCATTCTAAAATCAGTTTTATGTTTTTCAAGATGGAGTATGGCTATTATCTAAATCATACCAGACTGTATGGCTTGTAAAATTTCAAGTTTATTAAAAAGAAAGCTGTCGAGGAATATAAATACATTAATTCTGTTACCTTTTAGCCGGTGACTGAGAATCTGTTCCAAAATAGCTGCAAAATTGTTAAATTCAGGAGAAGAATCATCAATTGTCTCAAAGCAGGACCGATCAATCAGGGTCTTCACTGAAAACCTGTGGAAAAAAAAAGAGAGTTGATTCATGCACCCAACTAGGAAAAATGGAAAGAAAGCATTTTGAGGAACTATTACAAAAATACTTTCTAAGTATTACATATATTGAAAACTCTACCTATTTAAATTAACTCTGTAAATAGAAAATTTTATTTATTTATTTTTAATATATGAAATTTATTGCCAAATTGGTTTCCATACAACACCGAGTGCTCATCCCAAAAGATGCCCTCTTCAATACCCAACACCCACCCTCTCCTCCCTCTCATCCCCCATCAGCCCTCAGTTTGTTCTCACTTTTTAAGAGTCTCTTATGCTTTGGCTCTCTCCCATTCTAACTTTTTTTTTTAGAAAATTTTATATAAATATCAGGCTTTCACTTATATATTTACTATCTACTGATCACAGTAAGACTTACGAATAGCTCACTGTTAACAGTCATTAAAGTCAGAATCTTTAAAATGACCTAAATTAAGTCCAAAAAACTCAAAAGCTACAATACTACTTCTAAGAAATGTGTCCAAATGCTTTTAAGAGTTTTGGAACACAATATTGAATAAAACAGGATGAGAGAATGCATGAAGTGTAGATCTGAAGTTTTTATGACCTTTGTAAATAGGAAACTTACAAATCTGCCAAGTGAGCTAGATTTCTCTTATCAGAATGTCCTTTGTCTCTATTTTTGACTGTCAATAATCAATGTGTTTTCCAAGACTTAGTTCAAATGCCACCTCTTCAAGGAAGAAGTATCCTCCTGAATATTCCCAGCACAAGCTAGCATTTTGTTCATATCTTCCTTAAGGAACAATTACAGTTTATCCTACTGCTGTTATGTGTGGTATCAATCTTACTAAAATATAAACTCCTTGAGGGCAGAAACATATCTTCTGCACATTTATATGTTCCTCAGCACAGAGGACAATGCCTTGAACACTGTTGTCAGTACTTGTTCATTTATTTGTAAGCCCTATTTTGAAAGAACAGCAAAAAAAATTTAAATGCCAATATCATGGCAAGACAAGAGAAAATGTTTATGATTATTAACATATAACAACATTCGTGTAACCACCAAAGTCAGGATACAGGACAGTTCTGTCATCTCAAGCAACTCCCTAATGCCATCCCTTTATAGCCATACCCTCTAAAGGGTGACAAATGAATGCCTAAGTAAGGACAATCTGTGAGGAAGGAGGCAATTGAGATAATTATGAGAGTTGTTAAATAATTAGAAATGTACACTATGAGGGAGATAAAGGAATACAAACTATTTCTTAGGCTTTAGGCTCGATGGTTATACTATTCAATCAGGACAGAAAACACAGGAGGTAAGTATAAAGGGAAATATAAAGAGATTTGTTTATATGGATTACATCTAAAAACTATACTAAAAACTCTCTTTGCTGCCAGGTGTAATGTATAAGGAAATTATTTACAAAACTAGTGAAACGTTTATATAGTTAACTAAAATTTAAGTTATTTATTTTGAAAGAGAGAACACAGCACAGGAGGAGCTGAGAGAGAAAAAGGGGAGAGAGAGAGAGAGGGAGGGAGAGAGAGAAAATTCCAAGCAGGCTCCTCACTGTCAGTGCGGAGCCCCATGTGGGGCTCGAACTCATGAGATCATAACCTGAGCCAAAGTAAGATGCCTAACTGACTGAGTCACCCAGAGGCCCCAATAGTACACTATAATTTAAAACAGAAATATTGGGAATTTTTAAATGTCTTCTCTATAAAAAATTTACCAAGAGTAGTTTGAACAGTGCTTACATTCTTACTGTATAACTTAAAATACGGGCTGAGCATATTTTCTATACCTTGGCAAATTATTCCTTTCTAAGTCTGGATCAGTTTCCAATACATGTATTTTTTTAAGAGTGAGAGAGAGGGTGCATGTGAGCAAGGTAGAGAGACAGAGAGAATCCCACAGGGGGCAGAGGGGAAGGGGGAACAAGAGAGAGAAGCCAGGCTCACCCAAAGCAGGGCTTGTGCTCACCTGATTCAGAACTCAAACTCATGAAATGTGACATCATGACCTGAGCTAAAGTCAGATGCTTAACCAGTTGAGCCACCCAGGCACCCCGAGTTTCCAGCATTTTATCCTTTTCACTTTCAACTGTGAAAATCTCTGAGAGGTCCTATAACGTGAAATGGCCTGCCAGTGCCACTTACGCTGGGACCTCCTTTTTGGCACAACCACTCTGTTCACTTAAATCAATACATCTTCCTTCACTAAGTTCCTATGATTGCATACCTGAATTCCCTTGAATAGCAGCAATGTCAATATTCCTGTGATCTACTATTTTTTCTATAATTCCACTTGTTAAATTCAAATTTCACTTCCAATATTAGCATTTTCTATTTCTTTGCCACTCTTTCAATTATCCATTTTTGTAAAGCATGTTTTTATCACCAGAACACAAGGAGGCAACACAACTACAGGTTTTGATTTCTGTGTATGAACTAATAACACATGAATAGTGACCAATGCTAGACCCACTTACAAGAAGTGATGTCTTTGGTCACTAATCATGATGTGCATTTAATGACAGTGATTCATAGACTAAAGCACGAGCAACAAAATTTTATTTTATGCAATTACAGTTAATATATGGTGGTGGTCAAACTAGAACTATGTTATTGTAGGACTGGTATTAGCTAATTTTCAGGTACCTGAAATTAGTACATACTGGAACTGTGCAAAGTGAGGACCACCCCATTTATTTATTACAAATGAAATTAATTATGTTCAAGTAATGTATTTTTATAAAACATATATTTGCCAAAACAAAAAATTAGCATTGGTGGTATAGTGGTGAGCACAGCTGCCTTCCAAAACAAAAAATTACCAAGAATAGCATTGTTGTACATCTCTGCAAATATCTTCTTTTCAAGTTTGTTTATTTTGGGATACAGAGAGAACACAAGCAGGTAAGGGGCAGAGAGAAGGAAAGACAGAATCCCAAGCGGGCTCTGTGCTGATGGCAGAGAGGGGGCACAGAGGGGCTTGAACCCACAAACCATGAGATCATGACCTGAGGTGAGATCAAGAGTTGTATGCTTAACTAAGCCACCCAGATGCTCCTCTTTGCAAACATCTTTAATGTTGTGTTGAAGATAATATAGCTAAATCCTCATATCCAATTCTGTATTCAATCTATTCTAATATTATACACCATGTGGCTCTGGAAAACTCCACTGTACACTTGTTAAAGAATGGGAACAAAAAAGGCAAATTAGGTCTTAAAATTAAGAAAATAATTTTTTTTTAATTTTTTAAAAATTTTATTTAAATCCAAGTTAGTTAACATATAATGTAATAATGGTTGCATGAGTAGAATTTAGTGATTCATCATAAGTGCCCTCCTTAACACCTATTGCCCGTTGAGACCACCCCCCAATGCAACAAGAAAGTAATTTTGACCTTTTGGACCTCTGATAGAGTGAGGATCCAAGCATACACTTTGAGAATCATTCTTTGTATGTAATTCTTTGTATGTGATGAAATAACTAAGGCATTCTTTGTATGTAATGAAATAACTTTTCTCTTATGTAACCATGATGGCAGTAATTATACACACACACACATATATATATATCTCCTTGAGAGAACTGAGGAAACAATTATTCAAATAATTTTTTGGTTAGGGCAAGTAACCTTGACTGAGAAAAGCTAAGGAGGATTAATGTTCGGTATATAGTACTATCTGTAACTACAACAAAAGATCAAAAGTGGAAACCATTATGTAAAGAAAAAATATGAACAGCTAACAAGTAACAGTGATGAAGTAGGTCTCTTATACCTAAAAGATAGTCAAGTCAGATAAACATCAGATGAAATGCATGAGTAGATAAACAGAAACAAAAAGAAGATCAACAGATAAACCAGACTAAAGAGGAACCTGAAAACTTGTTTTTGTTTCCTATGTCCATCTCATAGACAATAAATGAAAAAAAAAGCTGCCAATCCTCAGCAAACTTTTAATAATAAATAAGTACAATGTTCTTATTCAGTAAGAAAATGAAAAAGAAATGTTCCTAAAATGAATAAATAAAACTCACAGTTTGGATTTTGACCTAAATAAAAGGAAACTTTGGAACATCTGAACGTTTCCCTCTAATCTTTGTTAGGTAGACTAGAATAGGAAGTCTGATTCTACAATCACATTCAAGGCAAAAGTAACCTACTGCTTTAAAAAATTATGGCATTTAACTAACTTGGATGTAAATTAAACAATAAATAAATTTTTAAAAAATTTTAAAAATTAAAAAAAATTTAAATATGGCATTTAAGATAGTAATGCATATTAGTGAAATGAACAAAAACTTTAAATTTAAAAATAACAAAGTACTTATTTCATCGAAAAGAGCTACGTTTGAACATTCAATTTCTACCTGTAACAATCTGGTAAGATTTTAGTCACTATGGTCCTCCAGGAACAGTACAAAATTCCCTAGCAAATGATCTACTTTGTAAAATCTAACGGGAAGAAAGGCCATGGATATGAATACCTATATTTTGTAGCACCAAGAGCTATATACACATCAATCAGTAGTTAACAAAATACATGAGTCTTTTTATCATGTTATCAGTTTATATTCCTATAGAAGACACTATTTGCATGACAAAAACATAAGATGGTGAATCTCAGAGCATTAAATTACTTTTAACCCAACACCTGAATAAAAACTAAAATAAAAGTTCACATATCTTAAAGGATACCATGAGACACATTTTCTGTTATTGCCAAGCATGAAGATATTTAAGGGTAAGAAAGCATTTTAAATATTCAATTACATCAAAGTTAATAATGAAAAAGGAAGAAAAGAAAGTTTTCTGGCTTTGCTTCATCATTTATATCTTAACTCTCCTCCTGGTAACACAAATCAAAATTTCAAAAGGTAACTTAATTCCTTACAGCTCATGTTTTACTTCTAGCTAGCCAAGTCATCCCACTTAACACTGCTCTAGAATCATGTAGCTAGCTAGCTCCATTATGCCAA